TGATAATTTGTTTCAAACGGTATGGTACTGACACAAAAACAGACACATAGGTCAATAGAACAGAATAGAAAGCCCAGAAATAAACCCACAACTATATGGTCAATTACTCTTTGCAAAAGGAGGGAAGAATATATAATGGGAAAAAGGTAATCTCTTCAATAAATGGTGCTGGGAAAACTAGACAGCTACATACCAAAGAATGGAACTGGACCACTTTCTTACACCATACACAAAAATAAACTCAAAATGGATTAAGGACCTAAATGTGAGACCCGAAACCACAAAAATCCTAGAAGAGAGCACAGTCAGTAATTTCTCCCACATCAGCTGTAGTAACATTTTTGGATATGTCTCCTGAGGCAAGGGAAATAAAAGCAAAAATAAACTACTGGGATTACATCAAAGCAAAAAGCTTCTGCAGTGCAAAAGACAACAACCAACAAAACTAAAGGACAACCTACTGAATGGGAGCAGATATTTGCTAATGACATATCTGATAAAGGGTTAGTATCCAAAATATATAAAGAACTGATGCAATCCAACACCCAAAAAACAAATAATCCAATTAAAAAATGGACAGAAGACATGGACAGACATATCTCCAAAAAAGACATACAAATGGCCAACAGACAAGTGAAAAGATGCTCAATATCACTCATCATCAGGGAAATAAGTGCAAATCAAAACCACAATGGGATATCACCTCACCCCTGTCAGAATGACTAAAATAAAACATACAAGAAAGAATAGCTGTTGCTGAGGATGTGGAGAAAAGGAACCCTCATGCACTGTTGGTGGGAATGCAACGTGGTGCAGCCACTGTGGAAGGGTATGGAGATTCCTCAAATAATTAAAAATAGAACTACCCTATGATCCAAGAATTGCACTACTGGGTATTTACCCCCCAAAATACAAAAACACTAATTCGAAAGAATATATACACCCCCCCAAGTTTATTGCAGCATTATTTACAACAGCCAAACTACAGAAGCAGCCCAAGTGTCCATCAATAGATGAATGGATAAAGAAGTTGTGGTATATATATACACAATGGAATATTACTAAACCATAAGAAAGAATGAAATCTTGACATTGGCAACTACATGGATGGAGTTAGTACAATGCTAAATGAAATAAGTCAGCCAGAGAAAGACAAATACCATATGATTTCACTCATATGTGGAGTTTAAGAATCAAAACAAACAAAGGGAAAAAAAAGAGAGAGACAAACCAAGAAACAGACTCTTATTAACTGTAGAGAACAAACTGATGGTTACCAGAGGGGAGATGGGAGGGGGGATAAAATATATTTTACTGGAATTAAAATAAAAAACTTAATAAAACAACAAAAAAGGAAAATTAGTTTCTTTGAAGATGGGCTCAAATTATGGAGCACTATTGATATGTTACTCTTTTTTTTTTAAGATCTTATTTATTTATTTGACAGAGAAATAGAGAGCGCACAAGCGGGCAGAGGGAGAAGGAGAAGCAGGCTTCCCGCTGAGCAGGGAGCCCGACGCGGGGCTCAATCCCAGGACCCCAGGATCATGACCTGAGCCGAAGGCAGACACTTAACCACTGAACCACCTAGGTGCCCCCGATATGGCACAGCTTGAGGGATAGTTTAGTTCTACTCTTAACTGAATAGTATTTGTTTAAAATTGATGGTAGACATCGCTATTCTCAAAGTTAATGAAGTCCCAAAGTCTTAGAATTTCAAGAAAAGAATACTGTAGTAGTAAGCATATTTTACAACCAGAAAAGCTTTTGTTGACCAATTCTTTAGTTTTTACACTTAGTGCTTTTTTTCATTAAGAAGTGTCAAACTTGTCATCTTTATTGAATTATATGTTAGTCTCATTTGCAGCATCTATACTCTGAAAACAGTAAAGTAAGAGTAACCACAAAGTACTGAGACTTTTGTTAGGTTTATAAAGACAGTCTCATTACTCTACAGTCACAGAAGAGTTTAACTCTTCATTTCATGGCATATATTATCTGCATATACATAATATGGCCTATTTTAGGATGTTAGATAGTTTTTACTTTATTACCTTTAGGTTTTTTAAAGAAAGCATAGACATTATGAACACTTTTAATGGTTGACGGTCAAAACAAATCTTTATCTGAGTTCTATATTTTACAATCCTATGCTTCATTATTAGCTTCATCAGTTCAAAAAATACAAACATATCCCATGAAAAAGTTAATCTCCAAAGGATAGATAACTAGAGTATTTTAAGATAAACAGAATCTATCTGCATTACACAAGGCTATAAAGATGCACTCCTCAAGGTGGCAAATGAATCAAGACTAGTACTGGTTTCAAATACAAAATGACAGAGAAGTTACAAATGGAAATTGATATAACTCCTCACTTTTGAGAGGAGTCAAATGTCAAAAAGGAACACAGAGATCTCAAAAACCAGGATGATATATAGAAAAATGGTAGAAGGGGTGAACATAAAGATAAAAGCTGCTGTGCACTCTTAACATGATGAGTTTACATGATTAATTCAAGACTTAAAAAAGAGGTCTGAGAACTTCATCATGACTGGAATATAATTTTGAACTGAAACAAATAAAATTCCAGACATGTCACTAGGAAGAAAACATGACGCTGCTCTCAGGTGAACCATATGCTTGAGTCTGGAATACTGCTGAGTGTTTATGTATACCCTATAAGTTACCAAATCACTAGTAAAATAGTGGTATATTGATAAGACACAGGATAAAAGAGATTAAGAAGATTACAGTCTGAGCAAGAGATTCAAAGTTCCACTAATACATTTTAGTACTTGATGTAGTAAAACATTTAAAATTACATGCAAAAATATTAAATTCTGAGGACCTGGAAAGCCCATCGACTATTCTGAGAGTTAGGTCATTTCAGGGAAAGGGACTTCAATGCATATTGGATTGAGTCATGTTTAGAAAACCTTGCTCACATAAGTCGGCAATAAAAAAATGTCCACCCCACTGCTTGCATGGAGCTTATTTCTGGAAGGTACATTCAATCCTGTGCCTCCATTAGTCAGAGTTTCTTTTTATTGATGGCACGTGCCATAGTCTTGTCTTTTCAACAGAGTAGTGATTCTCCTTGGGTGAGCAAATTTGAGTTTCCAAGAATGTGGAAAAGCAACCAAAATAAGTGTGATTTTGGATAAGTAAGCTTTATGCCCACATAGTAAGACCTTTTGATATCACTAAACAATTTTGTATATAATTTATTTAGAATGTTTAGAATACTTAAAGGGATATTAATCTCAGCATTTATAAGCCAATTTACTAGATTACAGAAGATACCACCGGTTTAGAAAGATTATATTAGCCAGAATCAGAAACTTGTCTTATTATGGTGCTGCATTTGGGAGAATAAGATTTACTACTAAAATGACATTTTAAAAAATTAGGACAATCATTCATAAAATAAGATCTGTACATAAAAATAGGCTGAAAAAAAATAAAGCTTAAGATAAAATAATAAAAATAAAACACACCATTTTGTAATTACAAATGGTGGTATAGTGATGTTTCAGGTGGCTAAGGCCATGAGAAAGCACATTTCTAGAAGAGTCTTTATGGCATGAAGAAGTGTACATGTGATAACTTTCTTATTCAAATTTCGTAGTTATGATAGAAACCCTACTTCCCAGAAGTGCATTAAAGATCAACTATATTCTCACTGACTTCACCATGTCCCCATTTAAAGCCTTACTTAATACCATATATAGGTTCAGTTGTTTTCTAAGGATTCATCCTTGAGCAGGTTCATTTGAAGTTGAAAGAACTACACACTATATATGAAAAATGAAGCCAATATTAGGAAACGCATTTCAAACTCTACTCAAATGCAACTTATATAATATATTGCTCTTTAGGTAATTGTTTAGAATGAACATTTGGTGCTTATCTGTTGGTTATTATTTCTGTGATTAGATACAAATGGGCAATGGAAGATTTTATATTAATCACTTTCCTTGATTTGCAATAAAGAAATGCAAGAATAAAAACTGGAAATAATTTTTAAGGTCTTCAACATTAAGAGTATTTTAAATCATGTTTTTTCTTTTGATAATTTCTGAAATTAATTGCTAAGAAGCATTTCATTCAGTTAAAATAATAGGCTTTTTCATACACTCAATATTTATGACTTTCAAATGAGTGCTTTCCTAGTTTTTATCTTTACTTCATTTTAAGTTGCATTGTATTAGCAATTTAAAAGTCAGGGTTATTGTTAATCCTATTTTAAAAATAAATTTAGACATCATGAGAGAGAGTCAATTGAGTTAAATAAAACTTGAAATTGCTTTAGAAGATATACACATAACCTTAGAAACAAATACACAAAATAACTTTTATATGTCAAATAATCTGACCACGTAGAGTATATGAAAAAGAAAATACCTTAAAATAACCAACAGTAAAAGGTGGCAAGAAGGTGGCAGATGATTAAAGAGGATTTAGAATGAGATGGGAAACACATAAAATGTGTTTATTAAGAATGCTTTAATACTAAGGATTCAGTAGTCCTACAGTGAGACAATAGGTTTTCCTATATATCCCATGTGTTATGACAATGTCTTTATACATCACACTCTCGGGCACAATCTCCTAAAACCAGCAAAAAGTATTCATGTCTTCAGTCTTGTCCCTGGAACAGGGAAACTAAAATAAAGAAACTCCCTACTGCCATTAAAAACATTTAAAAAATCAAACTATATATCAACTGCTTCAAATCTCTTCCTGGGATAAAGCAAGGTGCATACCTATAAGTAAACAAACATAAAACAAATAAAAATTAATTTTGGTTACTATAACACCAGTAGCTAGTGGCTTTGACTTGAGCAACTCCTTAGAATAAAAATTTTAAATTTGTTTAACTGTCAGGTCAATGATATGCTACTACTATTTTTCCAGAATTAACTCTTAATACCACATAAAACCTTTGGATTAAAAAATCTGTGATAAAATTTTAAATAATTATTAAAACAACTTACTTTCTTCTTTCTTGCTAATAATGGCAGGCAGGGTGTAAATCTAAAAAACAAAGGAAGTCTAATCAGTTAATGACCCTGCACAGAAGCAGGGTTATGTTGGTACAAGGATACACAAAGGGAGTATCTTGATTTCAAGGTCCTACAATTGGTGCATCCATAGGGCCAAGTCCCTACCCTGTCAACCTACCTTGTTTCCCACTTCTTTCCATCATGGCTGTCTGTCTAGCCCTGAGCAAGGTTCTACCCTTTTCATCTGATTTATATATCTCATTCTAGTACCTGACATCATGCACAGAACGTATCCTTTCTTCAGGATCTCATGAATTTTACCAGATTACTCCTTCCTCAAATTATCTCCTTAGTGTCTTGTTCTCAGCATGTAGAGCCCTAACTAGTACCTGAGCTGTCACACCATCTTCTCAATCTGCTCTAGGTCAGGGCTTACCTCACAACTATTAATGGCAAAGAGTCAAATCATTTTGTTTTAATTTTCAACTTTTAATTGGCAGATATTTTTATAAGTTATAATAAAATAAAACATAATAAACATAAAGAATAGATGCAGAGTCCAAATTTTTTATTATTAAACTCAATAGATAAAAAATGACTTCTCCAAATTGCTATAAATTTTTCAAATGCTTAATCATAATTTCTGCACTCAGTTTATTGTGGACTGGTTAACAGTTTGAGGGATGGCCTCAAAGTCTAGGGACCACACTTTATATGTGTGTTGTTGCATTGGTACTTTGCACAAGGTTGTTTGCAGATTCTTTGCCAACAAATGGATAGTTCTCAAGGGACAGAACAGGGCCTCCTATTTTTCTCTGTGTGCTCATACCTCCAACCATCCAGTGCAGTGTTCTTCACAAAGAAAACAGACAATGATCAATGATTTATTCCCTTCTTTACATAAGCCTCCCTAATAATTTTAAGTAAATTATCATGCCCACATTGAAATAACTATTAAAACGGTGGAGATATGGATGGAAGGGAAAATGTCAAGCCACAAGGCAGTTTGACCAAATGAGACTTATTTTTTTAAAGATTTATTTATTTATTTTGGAGGGAGGGGCAGAGGGAAAGAAAAAAAAAAAATCTCAAGCAGACTCCCTGCTGAGTGCAGAGGCAGATGCGGGGCTCAATCTCAAGACCCTGAGATAATGACCTGAGCCGAAATCAAGAGTCAGATGCTTAACTGACTGAGCCACCCAGGCGCCCAACCACATGAGACTTTTAAATAATGATATAGACCACAGGATTAGTTCTCTAGAACGTTTGCTCATCACACTGATCATGAAGCCTACCACAGGACTTGCAAAGAGTGGGGATTCAATTATTAACTGAATAAAATAATCCAATCAGCACAGCCAAGTTAGTGGTAAGTAATTTGTTAAAAAGTAATCTTAGGATTTCACTCATATGTGTAATGTAAGGAATAGCATGGAGGACAACAGGGTAAAGGAAGGGAAAACTGAAGGGGGGGAAATCAGAGAGGGAGAAAAACCATGAGAGACTATGGACTCCAGGAAACAATCTGAGGGTTTCAGAGGGAGGAGAGTAGTGGGATGGGGTAGCTGGGTGATGGGCATTAAGGAGGGCGAGTGATCTGATGAACCACTGAGTGTTATACACAACTAATGAATCATTGAACACTACATCAAAAACTAATGATGTACTGTATGGTGGCTAACTTAACATAATAAAAAAAAAAGTAATTTTAGGTTTAAATCTGGAAGTCCCCCTGTGAAACAAATTAGAAAGTTATACAGTGAGTGAGACAACACTAGAAAAACAGTAAGAGTCTCTACCCTGATTGCTATATTAATATTTCCAAATATATTACAGACATAAAAAAAATTTCAGATGTACTTTCTAATTAGAACAATAAAACCTAAATTATAGAATGTGTCAATATTCTTACCGGTTCTTTACCATCCATGGCTTCAAGCCAGAGTTTCCGATTAGCTTCTGAGAATGCCTGCAATGTGATGATTCCATGTCTGTTAAAAACAAATATTTTATATATTCAATTTATTCCTGTTATGTCTTTACACACTTATTATTTTTTGTGTTCTTAAAGGTAAAGGTAAAACTTGAAGAAAAAGCAGGAAAGAAAAAAAATGAAAAGAGAGAAAAAGGAAAAAGAAAAGAGAAGAAAAAAATAAAGAATGAAAAGAAAAAGACTGATTTATAGCTACCTTTCAGAAAAATCACTGGGGGGACACATACACATATACATACACACAAACAAATATTTTTTAATTCCAATGGTTGCAGGTAGAAATACCTGAAGGAGGCTAGTTTCAAACTATTTCCTCTGAAATGACCAAAAAAGATGACAAAGTTACATTCACCAAAGTTCAGAACCACCTAAATGTTCTACAGTATGAGAATGATTACTATTATGACCCCAATGTGGTACAATCTAGTCACCAAAAATAATTACAAAGAATATATAGTAATATGAAAAGTTTCATACCATAATTAGTTACTAAAAAGACACTAAACCAAAGTGTTTATACCATGATCACAATATTAAAATTAATTCATTTAAAAACCATTCTTTCCCATGTACCCATTCTGAAATAGTTAGTTGAGGATGTACTTCAAGAGAGAAAGAGTGAGCAAAGGGAAGGAAGAAAGCAATGTAAGATAGAAAAAGACATGAAATTCAGAAATAGTTAAATTAACCTAGTTAACTGTACAGATTGTCCAGAAAATATATTTAAACAGGACATTAGAGGACTCTGTGAACAGGTACACTGAGGAGGAAATTTCAGTTAAATACTGTATGATTGAAAACTGGTATGACTGTGATAAAGGCATATTATCTCTTGTGTAAACAGGAAAACAGATCACTGGAATGATAGGAAAAGGAAAAATGTATATGAAGATCAAGATCATTTGATCTTGGAGAATCTAAGCCAGCATCAACAAAAATAATAAGATGATAATTTTTTTGGCTGTTTATGATGTGCCAGGCACTATGTTATAAATGTGTCTCATTTTTTAACCTAATTTAATCCTTATAGGAACCCTTTGAGGTGGGTACTTATTATCCTTATTTTACAGATGAGACAACCAAAGCACAATCTGACAGTGTGTCCCAGGGTTACAGAACTAAAAAGTGCTGAAATAAAGAAAAATCACTAGCATGTTGGCATCTGTCTAGATAGAAAATCCAGAAGTTCCTACCACAAAACTATTAAAATCAGTAAGGAGCTCAACAACTATGCTGGATATAGATTAATATATTAAAAAGATTAATAGCCTTTCAATACAGGAGTCTCAACCATTTGGAAAAAATATACTAATGAATTCTATTCAAAACTGCAATAAAATGGAAACACTCAAGAATAAATTTTAAAAAAATATAAAATCTTCAAAGAGAGTTCAACTCTCCATCAATTAATTAATAATTTTAATGCTACTCCAGTCAAAAATCCCAAAGGACTTTTTTGGAAAGAAGGGGAAATGTAGTAAGTGGATCCATAAAATCTAAGAACACGGTGCCAAAATATTTAACACAATTTTAAAGAAGCATAAAAAACAGGGGCCTTGCCCTACTAAATAGTTACAAGCTACATATAGGTAAACTATAGTATATAAGAGTATATACAGTACACATTTTATATAGTGCACACACACAAAGCTAGACTATTCAGAAAAGTATGGTAGTAATGCAGGGGAAGAAAAATAGATCATGGAATAGAAGAGAGATCAAGAAGTATACCCATTCTTATTTAGTTTCCGTTCTTATATTGATACAAGAAAAAAAAAGGATAGCTAAAAATCCCCACTAGGTTATAAACTCGCATGCACAATATTTATGTCTCTCCCAATATTCTGTGGCTAAGAAATGTCCAGAATGGTGCTCTGCACAGAGCAGGCACTGAATTTCACTGGCTGAAGGAAACTTATGGCATTTCCAGCTGTGTCTTATTACTCCTTGGAAGCAAAGGCCACCAGGCTTCAAAAGTCCACAAAAAAGCTTATCCAGGAGTGGTAAACAATATTGTCAGAATCATTCATAGTGATGGGAACTCAAATCCACCACACATCCCCTAATGTAGTAATTTATGTTGATTCCCCGAATTCTTCTTTGAGTGATGTTGCTTTTCGCTAGCATCCTTTCTCTGATTTATTTCTTGAAAGCATCGTGCAATATATATTTGTTGAATAAATACATAAAAGAATGAAACAAACATGCACACTGTTTTTAAAGACTGAAAAACAAGTACTTGTATGCTGTTTCATATTTATATCTAAACATAGAAACAAATAATTTAGCTTATTAAAAAATATGAAGTGAAAAGAAAACCTCAAACCTTTCAACTACTTCTATGTCAAAGCAGAATCGTTTGTCAATTGAATCTGTCTTTCGTCGGATACAAGATTTCAATTTAAACATTTCTGGTGAACCGGTAACAAGGCCATTCTGAAACAAGAAGAACACATTGTTGACATGACAACAAGGGCAACTGGAAAATATTAAATATGCCAACTAAGGTTGCTGCACTTAAATGTCAAGTACAGGTTACGTATGAAGGTCATAATCACATCTTGTCCTCTGACTACAGACTTTTTGCCTAATGTTAACTGCTCAATTATAATGCAATTCATAAATTAATCACATACACATTTTAATTAAAGAATTCTGTAGCATGCCTATCTAGTAGTCTTAAACATATTTACTTATGTCAAATTGCACTAAAATGTACATTCTTTAGGACTTCAGATTTAGAAAAAGTGTGAAATCATAGTTACCATAATGTCACAATTAGATATACAGAGCTTGTCAGGATACAACACTGTTGCTTTGGCATCAAAATGCCCTAGGTTGCTAAGAGATTAGTATTGTTCATTTGTGTGTGTGTGTGTGTGAGCTCATGAGAGCAAGTATGTATACACATGTGCATGTGTGTTTGCGCATTAGGGCCTTATAGCATTAAATGGTAATTGGCTCAAAGTCTCAGGAGAGCTACCAAAATAATACATTTCTAGTATTTACTTGTTATAAATGTATTGCTATCATACACACCGCATGACTGCTTTGCTGGTAACCAATTGCTACTCTGCTAGTCAACTGTATCTCTTTGGAGAGGATCCAACATAAGCTTGAGTCATAAGAATTCTCTTCTATACCTGAGACACCAGTCACCTTAAGGGGAATATTTACCCAATGTCTGGTTAATTCTACTATCTTTGGTTACTAAGATCATAGATTTATTAACAGAACTTTGGCTTGGGTCTATTTGCTAATAGCTCACTGACCATCAAAAGCTGACTTTTAGGCAACATCTTTTATTATGAAACCTTTGTAGTACACACTAGGCATGATTATAGGACTTAACTTCTCATGATGGTAGGAACTGAAGGTTTCTTTTGCTCGGGTATGTTCTCCTTTATATTATGTCTCTCCATTTGAATTACTAGACTCTATCGAATGCCCAAGCACAATACGTTTCAGCTGATGTATTTGAGTATATATCTAAGTTAGATCAGCATTTACCTCTGCTCTGATCTATACCAAAAATTACCTGGGTGAGTCACTTACTTTCTACCACCTTGATTTTCTAATCTGTTAAAATAAGGCTGGACTAAATAATCTTTAGGATAACTCTCAGTTCTAGGATTCTTAGATGATGGCCCCAATTACCTGATCCTTAAGTTCAGTCACTTGCCATATTCATATCATAATTCACAAAAAGATTATACACTATATACAATAAAGGTGTTGTACTCTGTAGCATTTCCTCATACAACATACACTTTGTTCTATACTGTTCACTAGCCATGCAAGACATCCAGTGACCAATTTACTTTTGGAGTAAATGGCTATCAACTGATTTCTTCTGAATGCTGGCCAGCATTTCAGTAAACAGTACACAGTGTAGAAGAGGAAGTGGCATGCAGGGGCAAAAGGCAACCTCCCACAGAGGTGACCTGGAGGAAAGATGCAGAGTCCTTGAGCCTGGTCCAGCCACCAGGAGTCTCTACTAAGGTGCCAGCCAACTAACAGCATAAACAACTCTGCGCCAGGGATGTGAGAGGACACATCTAACATCTAACATTTAACTGTTTATAAACATTTCATGGTAAGGAAAAGGAAAATCCTGGCTGCTCTTTTTAAGTCATCAAGATCACTGAAGTTAGAGAAACTTTTTTGACTTTTCAATTTTTAAAAACTGTTTACATGAGAGACTATGGACTCTGAGAATCAAACTGAGGATTTTAGAGGGAAGGGGGGTGGGGGGATGGGTTAGCCTGGTGATGGGTATTAAAGAGGGCACGTATTGAATGGAGCACTGGATGTTATATGCAAACAATGAATCATGGAACACTATATCAAAAACTAATGATGTAATGTATGGTGACTAACATAACATAATAAAATAAAATTAAAAAAAAAGAAAAGCAAGAAAATATGATTTTATTTTATTTATTTATTTATTTATTTTACTTCCATTATTTATCTAACAAGTTCAGATTCTAAAAAAAGAAGAAGAAAACTCACCATTTTCCCACTGGATTTCATTTCTGAAACACTCATTGTAAATGTTTTACTTCCCTTATCATATGTACAATAATGTTTAGTCCATGTAAAACCAAGTGGTCCTGATGTAAGGAAACAAACATTACAGATTGTTAATAAATGATTTGGGACTATGTTTGTACAGTTTTTTTTGTTTGTTTGTTTGTTTTTTTGACAAAGAGAGCGAGAGAGCACAAGCAGGGAGAACAGTAGAGGGAGAGGAAGAAGCAGGCTCCCCGCCAAGCAGTGAGCCCGATGTGGGGCTCGATCCCAGGACCCTGAGATCATGACCTGAGCCGAAGGCAGACGCTTAACCATCTGAGCCACCCAGGAGCCCCTGTTTGTACAGTTTTTGATGCTATGATACACAAGTGAATGTCTCCACAGGCCACGCTAGTTTAGAATATTTACTGTGAGAAAGGCCAGTGTAAAGGGAGAGCTGTATGGAGTACCATGTCTGGGAATCAAGCAACTTGACTCTACTTGCCTGTAGCACCAGCACTCCCCTGTAACTCAGGAGTCACTCTAGATATGAATTTCAGTTATCTCCTCAGTAAAAGTGGCATACCTTACATTCCCAAGAGGTAGCAAGAACGAGAAACAGCCTATAACTGATCTCCTTACTTCTATCCTTGTCCTTTATTCTCAAAACTGTCAGAAATACTCTACTAAAAATTTAACCAGTTCATTTCATCCTCTTTGTTCAAAACCTCCAGTAGTTTCCCACCTCACTCCAGGTAAAAACCAAAGAGTCCATTACTATACACAATGCCCACATGCTCTGGCCTCTCATTACTGATCTCACCTCACATCTTACTACCTTCTGCCTCATCCACATTGTTCTAGTTACACTGCCCCCCTTGCTGATCCTTGAACCCAGGGAACGCACTTCTGCCCCAGGGCATTTGTACATCCTGTTCCCCTAGCCAGGACTATTTTTCCTTCAGATATCTGCATGGCTTGCTTTGTCATTCCTCCAGGTCTTTTCCTAAATGACACCTTTATGATATGGCCTTTCCTACAGAGGTATCTAACATCTCAGCACCCTCACCTTGATATTTCCTCTTTCTTTCTTTATTTTCTTCTTAGCATTTACCACTGTCTAAAATAGGATAAATTTTATGAATTCTATTTATTGTCTGTTTCTGCCACTAGACTCTAAGGCTCTATGAGAGCAGGAACATGTGATGCTCTGCTCACTAATATATTCTTAATCCTTAAAACAGGGCCAAACATTAGCTATCGCTCAATGAATTCTTGACAAATGAATGAAGAAATGAATCATTCATCTTTCTAAACTTCACTGACCTTGGAGTTATTTCCTCTTACCACTAGTCTGAAAATAAGTGAACTCAAATAACTCCTTAAAGTGAAAGTAACTTTTACTTCCCATTTTAAAATAAAGCTATATATGTATAGTGCTCATTTCCCCCTATAAATACTGTGCAACTCTTTCCCATAGCATACCACATAGTTTTCCTATATTCTCCTTAAGGAATTAGATGCTGCTGCTTCACCAGGGAATAGGGATGCATAGTAAGTTCAATTTTTCCATGACCAAGGTAAACCCTCAGTCTTCCCATGGGGAAGCCAATTATCCTGCATCTAGATGCCACTGTGGGCTGAGTGGGTTGAAAATGGAGTTTGTGGGGTGCCTGGGTGGCTCAGTCATTAAGCGTCTGCCTTTGGCTCAGGTCATGATCCCAGGGTCCTGGGATTGAGCCCCGCATCGGGCTCCCTGCTCGGCGGGAAGCCTGCTTCTCCCTCTCCCACTCCTCCTTCTTGTGTTCCCTCTCTAGCTGTGTCTCTCTGTCAGATAAATAAATAAAATCTTAAAAAAAAAAAAAAAGAAAATGGAGTTTGTTTTCTACACAACTTCTCCATCTAGGGTCCCATCCTGCTTAACACCTGCATCCTTCTAGCAACAATTATGTACAATATTATTGCTGGCTTGGTTTCATAACCATAGATTTAAAAAGCAAGAGACTGTAATGTAAAAATGTACTACTTGAGAAAAGTGTTTCATGAGGCATTTGAATTTTTTTTCTCTAATACCAGTGCCCTTGGTGTCATATTTAGCTTTAAAATACTTAATCCCAGATCTCAAAATTATAGGGTACAGCTATAACTTTGTAATCACAAAGGATTATTATAATAAACTTCAATTCTGTTTTAGGGCCATTTGATACCATAATACCTAAGCATACTTGTTGATTAATTCTGTTACATGCAGTATAAAACACTTAAAAGGCTTAGAGCTGATGAGTGGAAAGTGGTTGGATGAAAATCCTTATAGTGACCTCATTACTTAGGAAGAAATTTATAAAGGAATATTAGCAATAATTTTTATTTTTTTATTTAAATTCAATTAGCACTGGGTGTTATACGCAACTAATAAATCACTGAACATTGTATCAAAAACTAATGATGTACTACTATATGTTGGCTAATTGAACTTAAGCAAAAAAATTTTTTTTTTTTTTTAAGATTTTATTTATTTATTTGACAGAGAGAGACACAGCGAGAGAGGGAACACAAGCAGGGGGAGTGGGAGAGGGAGAAGCAGGCTTCCTGCTGAGCAGGGAGCCCGATGCGGGGCTTGATCCCAGGATCCTGGGACCATGACCTGAGCCAAAGGCAGACACCTAACGACTGAGCCACCCAGGTGCCCCTGAACAAGCCTCTTAATCAACACATTTTTCTGCTCAGCAAAATATTTTATTGATCAAAATGTAAGCTCCTCTCAATGTATCCTCACACTGAGGTTTTCAAGTCTGAAACAGTTATTCAAAACAAGTATTTAAAAATTTTCTAAGTGTCCTGAGTTAAATCTATATACCCTGTTTGTGACCAATGAATTAGGGTTTTTTTTTTTTTTTTCATGAAATTGTGGTGAAAGTGATTTATTATGGTCTAATTACAGAATAGCTAGGCAGGTCATTAGATTTATTTTAACATCCAAAACCAGCAGACTGGTCAAAGTCAATAATGATGAGAGAGAAAAATCCTGAAACCCAGATCTCCTGAGCCAGCAGCCCTCTATCATCTAATCCATACAGTAATAAATATTTGCTGAGTCTGTTGGATCAAATCATTATTTGCTTGTACACTATCCAACAAATGAGCATCACCTGAGCATGTCAAAACATAAAATGTGCTGGCATTTTAGTAATCATATTGCATTAATGTCAAAAACTTTCACAGCCAAACCAGTATCTCTAGCTTTCCCATCTCAACCCTTTAAACTATAACATCTTATTAACTAACCAAAACAACTTCATTAATCTATCATCTACAGATATGGAGACCTCAGAGCAGTGCTACTCTATGTGTTTTTTGAGTCCCAATATATGAGAATAGTACAGAAAGTAAAAATAAGCATTTCAAAACTTTTACAATGTTTTGGCATTACTGCAAAATCCAAGCATATGATTTTGAGTTTTACAAAGACACAGATCCATAATGGATTGGAAATAAAAACAACTATTCCTTTACCAAAACAGGATGAGACTGTGCATTAGAGCATATCTGGTTTGAAATAGTTAATTTAGTCAGACTGGTTCCACTCAATGCAAGTACCATGCAGAAAGAATCCTATTTATACAAGTTTGAATGGCTTTTTATTAATTTTTGTGAGAAAACTTTCTTAGTGTGAGCAATTATAATAGTGCCCTATCACTTCTGATGCTTATTTCCTAACCTCAGGAAGTAAAAAGTGCCAATTTGACATTACATAGTTGCCAGTTTTACTCCTGAAAATGGGATGAAGCACAGAATTTAATGAAATAATGCTGTAGGAAGAGAAAGTATTATCATAGTCACCAGGATGATTCATACTGATAAAGGCTTTGAATTTCAATTTTCCATGAAAGTTCAAATTGAGATTAGCTATTACAATGAAATTCTAAAACTGAACTCATGTTACCGTATCATCAGTGAAGGTTGTAAGTTCCAAGTTCAATAATATGCCAACTTGGAGATCCTGATGGCGAAATGTGGAAAAGCTTCCTCACTTTGATGGAGGTAGTGGGAGAGCAGACTAAATATGATAAAGCTGTAAGGAATTGCAGTCTTCCTATTTGAAGGAAAAAACACTAACCAAGTCAAATGTTAATCATAAGACTCATTAAGTTATGTCTTTGTGACTCACGTTTCTCCTGGACATAAAGGTAGCCTTCCATTGTCCACTGGCTGGGTGGTCTGTAATCTTGGTTGGCAGATTTCATTCTTTGCATCAACCGCTCTACCTCTTGTCGAGTACTTTCAAAATTATTCCTTGTCTTAAGTAAATAGAAACAACAATTTCATTCATTGTTTCCTACCAGTTTTGAGGAACTTCCAGTCTAAAGTTTCAAAACGGCAAGTGGTGCAAAAGGATAACCTTGATTCTCTCAGCACTACTCACCACATCCGGGACCTTACACATTGAGTCCTATGGTCTGATTTTGAATTGCTTTAGTGAAACATGAACGTGCACAGTGAAACACCACCTTCTGTGGTATGCGTATGTGTATACTTTATTCCTATTTCCTACTCTAACATTATTACTTAGGGGACAAATCATAACATTTATAAACATAATATTTATGAAATAGAGTTTTATATTCACTAATACCTAACGTAAAAAAGCAGATATATAGGGACTTATATTTCTTTCTTTTTTTCTCTGTGAATTGTTTTTTTTTATTTTTTAATTTTATTATGTTATCTTAATCACCATACATTACATCATTAGTTTTTGATATAGGGTTCCATGATTCATTGTTTGCGTATTTCTTTTGGGGGGTAAAGACAAAATAAATTCACATACTTTTATGTGGCACTTAGCAAAAAAAAAAGTTTAACACCCATATTCTTAAAACCTTTTAGAAGAAATATCATTTAGTTTGGTTTCCAGAAATAGTTATCATGAGTTTAGTGTATAAATTAACTCATAAAAATGAATGGGTTTGCTAGTTCTAACTTCTATTACAAAAAATAGTTTACTCACATTACAGCAAGTTTACTTAAGGTAAGATATAGAAAGCATAAGGCTTTTCTCGATCTCTTTTGCATTCCAGCCACATTATTTCAGCAATTTGTTTGAAAGCAAGCAATACGTTTGGAAACAAAAATCACCACCACCCAACTCTAAAATTTGTTATGGCCCGTAATAAAAGAACTGAATCCCGAAGTAAGTTAGGAAAATTTTCCTAATTGCCACTTTTGCTACTTCTTAAGCTTTTTTTTCCCCCCAATTCTTTTAAACATAAGGATCATAAATTTTCCAATTCCTTACATTCCTGTCTTGTTCTCGAACTTCAGGAATCTTAATATAATTATAATTCATATGGAAATAAATCATAAAAATATTTTGGCCTTTATAATTTTCCCTTTTAATATTTACTAAAAAGGTCCAAATGCATTCCATATTGAAAAACAATTGAATGACTTACATGTGAAACCAATTCTGCTAGAAAATCTAGATTAAATAAAAAGCTAAAACCCAAAACACAAGTAGAATAAATCCAATTGCCTATTTCTTATGGGACACTCCAACCCCATAGTTCCGTTTACTGAACATCTCCACAATGGCAAGAATCAGAGAAGCAGTGAAAGATAAGCTTTTTATAGAAAATTAAGTGAAGGCTTTCCAGTTAATTTACTTTGGCTGTTGAGCACTAGATTATTTTGGCCATTGAGCACTGGTTATTCAAAAATAACTTCATTTATACAAAATTCTCAACAAATAGAACTTTCTTATTTATCAGGTTTGATAATGCAGGAATGGACTGGGTAAGTTGTGTGTTTGTGTGTGTGTGTGTGTAATGTAAGTGATGCTTAGCATCTGCAAATCTGAATTTGTATAACTATGAAATGAGATACAAAAAGGATTAGATAACTTTACAAAATAAACCCTAACAGAAACAGATAGGATGTTTACAGATAATTCTCAATTAAGCTTTAAAACAGTTACTATGAATGCTTAAAAACCACATTTAAATTATTAGAAAATAAAAAATATCATATATATTATATACAATTTCAGAGAGGAAAGAAAAGGACATTCCTTCAGTGCTCAAATACAACCTTTTCATTCCTTCAGTGCTCAAATACAACCTTTTCATTTCAAAAATATAGAAATGTTACCCTTTCAGAAAATAAGACTTGCCTAAGGTAACCCAGTAAAATAATGAGAACATTGGATAAAGGCAAAAGTTCCCAACCTTCGAAGTATCTATTATCTATACCTCTGTAATATTTATTTTTATAAAACTTGCTAGCATAAGTTTTTCTAACATATGATTAGCTCCTTCTTGGTATACTTTCAACCAGCATAGAAAAAAGTGTTTTAATAAATTTTTTAAATGACTTTTCTAAATTAGATAAATTTTTAAAACACTCCAAGGTTTCGCTTGGTTATAGTTTCTCTGTCACCATCTGATTCACTAAGGAGAAGCAGTGAGAATAGGTATAGTCTTACGTTCTGTAAGTTGAACTGAAGCTGTTGCTTATATGGTGCAAATTCCTGGGCGAGTTCGTATCCCTCATGGTAAAAAGTAAATAAACCCTGAAGGAATGACAAAAGCTGCAAAAATAGAGAAATGAAAGAAACCATGAAAATGTGTTTTAAAAAAGAATGATCATCAAACATAATAAAGTGGGAAATTATATCTCATTCTAAATCCTCAAGCTAATAAATTTTCAACCCCTTTGTTTGGCAAAGCAGACACTTGAGTTATGAATGTGAAATAAACCACAAAAGCTAATTTTTACTTCCTTAGGGACAGTTGTTAATATTAACTATTCTACTATTCAAATGCATTGAAGAAATACCCAGGAGAGACCATTAATAGGGATAAAGACCCAAAGTGACATGGGTGCTACACCAGAAGAGATTCTAATCCAAACAGAGAGATAAAACATGTGTAGATGTGAGGAAGACTAAACCAGTAAATTAGAGATAAGGAGTACCCAAGGGAAGGAGTAAGAATTTGGCCAGATAAAATTAAGAAAAGTATCACAAGGTGGCAGTACTGATTCAGGTATTAAATAGACAACCTTTTAGCAAATAGTGGGAAGAACTAAGAACAGGAAAGAGCTGAGCAAAAACTTGGAACTGGATACAGATTTTTCACATAAAGAGTTGGAATAAAATTCTCTTTAGGAAACCACAATGTCTATTAGCCTTCTAATCCCAAACTCATATATGCATATTTATTATGGTCTTATTCATAAAGCAAGAATGGATCTCCATGAACTTACAGGACACAGTTGTTTATATAAATTATAACTGAAAAATAATTATTTTTTTCATTTAATTCATTGGCATTTTTATTACAAACTTGTGTACCAATTTGATCTCTTCCTACAATAAAGTTAGAAAATACTTTCCAGAAATGGCTATTTTTTTTTAATTCAAATAGTGTATTATGTCTGTAAGCTATTATTTTAAACTAAGGAAGAAACACAATTTGAAATTTTTATAAGTGAATAAATCTCCCACAATTTTCTCTGTCTGGGAAAATAGGCGGATTCAGCTAAGCACCAAATGGTATGTGTGTTATGATTTCCAACAGATAAATACTGGTTCTATCTGAAGACAACGACCTAATGCTTTTCCTCTATAGTGAGTCAACTTCTTACAAAGTTATGTTCATGTCAGAAAACACATACTTTCAAGTTGGTTTTAAATTGTTACATTTTAAAGACTTTCCTTCTCTTATTCAACAATTCCTGGTATGTCAAAATATATTGTTTTCCAATTTTAGAATTATTTTACACTGTCAATTTTACATCCACTGATAATTATTATTATCAAAACTACTCAATAGATTATCCTTTACTAAAATGATGCTACAATATATCTATTGAATTATCCAGTAATTTAAGATACATAGTCTGCACATATTGTGGTCTCATTAAAAAGAACTATACCTTTTAATTAATTGAGATTTGGATATACAGATTTAGAAGTTTTCAGAAACAAGTAAGAAAATACTTCTGAAATATATAGACAACACTAGTCTTTGAAATATCCAAATAATAGTTTATGAAGTTGTTTGAAGGATTATTTCAGTTTTAATGAATGTCTATAACTGATCCTCAGTTAAACTGTGTTGTTATTAACTAGATATCATAAAAGGAAGATGTTATTCTAATATGCTCAGTATACAGGATTTAATTAAACTTATAAAGAAAAGCTTTAAGAATATCTGTAGTAAGTCTTCCTGTAAAACATCAAATTCCCCAAGATCTGCCTAAATAAATAAATCTACTGGCATCTTATAACAGAATTCAGATTCACTCAGTAGCAGACAATGCATGCTGAGCACCTACTAGGGAAAGAACAATTTTGAGAGAAGTACAGAGAAATTACCTACAAAGAACAACCCACCTTTTCCTTCGTTCTACATCCAGTTTGGAAGCAACTTTTGTGAAAGTTTAAAAAAAAGACAGCATGTATGAAATAACTGCCTCTAGATGGCAGTAAAGTAAAACTTTTTTAGGTTTGAAGCTCTGCTAGTTCATTTTATCCTCAACAGATTCCATGATGTTAAATTAAGGTAACTTAATAGGACAGCCTGAAAATCTTTAAGAATTGCATTTCCTACCTGTCATTTTCTTTGTTCAATCTGCCTGAGTGAGTGGAGCAGGTGGAAAGACTACTGTCTCAGCTTACCTTAAGGTAAACCTGACCTTTTAAAATAATAATAACAACTACTAAAAACTACTGAAAAGACAAATTAGGCTTTAATATTAAATCACTTTGGGGCGCCTGGGTGGCTCAGTCGGTTAAGCGTCTGCCTTCAGCTCAGATCATGATCCTGGGGTCCTGGGATGGAGTCCTGCATCAGGCTCCCTGCTCCATGGGGAGTGTGCTTCTCCCTCTTCCCCCTCCTCCAGCCAGTGTGCTCACGCTAGTGCTCTCTCTCAAATAAATAAATAAGGACCCCAGGATCATGACAGATGCTTAACCAACCGAGCCACCCAGGCAACCCAAAAATATTAAATCATTTTTATCATCAGCAAAAGCTGATATAGCACTTTATTATTCCCAAGGGTTTTAGAATCAAATTACTATTTGTCATTCCAATAATCCGACCAAATATAAACATTGATACTACATTTATAGATAATCATTTAGCAAAATCAACTACAAGACAGCAAAGGAAAAAAAAACATTCATAATTCCCCAGCCCATTCATTAATCACCAAGTTTCTTATAGCCCCACAGTTACCAGTGATACTGTGAATGGCAGAAAAAAGTAAGAAAAGGAGCTGGGGGCTAGCATGAGAGTGAGGGGAAAAACTCTGAAACAACTGATGCAGTAATTCTAGGACTGTTGCTCAAAATGAGCAGAAGAACTGGGATATAAAGGCTTTTATAATGGTATGATTCATTCCTGTCTCCTAAGAAATTAAGCACTGAAAATCTTAGGGAATCCACTACCAAAACTACTAGAACTGATAAACAAGTTCAGCAATGCTGCAGGATACAAAATGAAGACACAAAAGTCAACTTTATTTCTATATACTTGGAATGAACAATCTGAAAATGAAATTAATTCCATTTATAATAGTTTCAAAAGAATTAAATACTGAGGAATAATTTTTAAGTACAAAATTTATAACTTGAAAAGTACAAAACACTGCTTAAGGAATTGAAGAAAGTTTAAATAAAAGGAAAATACTTCATGTTCTTGAATTAGAAGACCTAACACTGTTAAGATGGCAATACTGCCCAAAATGATGTGCAGATTCAATGCAATCCCTGTGAGAAGCCCAGCTGACTTCTTTATGATAACTGACATGCTGATGCTAAAATTCATATGGAATTGCAAGGGACCCAGACCACCAAAACAATCTTGAAAAAGGAGAACCAAGTATTTAGACTCACACTTTTCCATTTCAGTACTCAATACAAAGCAGTGGTAATCAACACAACGTGATACTGCACCAAGTATAGACATTAAATCAATGTCTAAGAATTGAGAATCTAGAAATAAGCCCACATACCTATGACCAACTTACTTTCAACAAGGGCACCCAGACCATACAATGGGTAAAGAATAGTCTTTTCAACAAGTGATTCTTGGACCACTAGATAACCATATGCAAAAGAATAAAGTTGTAACCCTACTTCACACCATAGACAAAATTAACTAAAGATAAGTGAATTGTATGGTTATGTTGAATTACACCCCAATAAGACTGCTCGGGGGAGACGAACCATGAGAGACGATGAACTCTGAGAAACAAACTGAGGGTTTTAGAGGGGAGAGGGGTGAGGGATGGGTTAGCCTGGTGATGGGTATTAAAGAGGGCACATTCTGCATGGAGCACTGGGTGTTATGCACAAACAATGAATCATGGAACACTACATCTAAAACTAATGATGTAATGCATGGTGATTAACATAACATAATAAAAAAAAGAAAATAGTAGGAAGGGAAAAATGAAGGGGGGAAATAGGACGGGGAGACGAACCATGAGAGACAATGGACTCTGAGAAACAAACTGAAGGTTCTAGAGGCGAGGTGGGTGGGGGCATGGGTTAGCCTGGTGATGGGTATTAAAGAGGGCACGTTCTGCATGGTGCACTGGGTATTACACGCAAACAATGAATCATGGAACACTACATCTAAAATTAATGATGTAATGTATGGGGATTAACATAACAATAAAAAATTTTTAAAAAAGAAACTGTATTAAAGAGGGCACGTTCTGCAAGGAGCACTGGGTGTTATACGCAAACAATGAATCATGGATCACTATACCAAAAACTAATGATGTAATGTATGGTGATTAACATAACAATAAAAAATTTTAAAAAAAGAAACTGTAGGGACAACAAGAAATAAAACATAAAAGTTTTCTGTGAAGCTATAGGATTTATATTTTGTTATCCTCCATTTGTATTTTTGGCGTAATGTAGTAAGAAATTTCTGGTTGACTGAATTCAATTTTCATCCTAATATTCTGATATTATGTAGGCACAGTTTAAAAAATCCACTGAAAACAATACTAAATATATCTTTAAAAAGCAAAAAAATATATATACATACTTCACATACACAGAGTACTATAATTCATTGAAGGAAATCCAAATCTCACGTAATACCTCTACATTTGGCCACTGGAACCTTTAGGAAGACTGGAAACATAAGGCAAAGGCAAGGCATCAATTTTCATCCAGTACAAGTGTGCAGCCTGAGTTAAACCTGTACTGTTTGCTGTTCCTTACCTGGAGGAAACTTAGAGATAAATATCTTAGCTGACAGCCTCGAAATAACTATTGAATGCTTTAAGTTTAATGCACAGATATCCAGAGCAATTTATTGAATGGAAATGAAAGAGTAGAAAAATATAATCAAATAAATGAGAAAACTGAAGAAAAGAGAGCCAAAGATGAAAAGCAGCCTGGGGAGACAATTTTTAAAGAGGATGATGAAAGAAAGAACAAATGAATGAATGGACAGACATGGGCATAGATTCAATTAATTAAAAAAAAAAAAGGCAAAACTTTTTGAAATCATGGCATTAGCAGTCAAGAATCTGTGGAGTTCCTGAAGGCAAATTTCCAAG